TAATAAAGTATTTAATATTATTTCAGGTATTTTTTTTATAAAAATAAAAAAAAAGTAATTTAATGCATGGTTTGCAGTCGACTTTATTTCTCAGATAATTAAAAATTACTTGAACCAGAATGCAACATAAAACCTTTAACGCAACAATGTACTAAGCAGTTTCATCAAGTTTGTTTCAGTGGTCCGCCATTTGAGGTTTTGAAAAGGTGCCCTCACACATGTAAACAAGACACACAATTCTGTTTGAGTTATAATAAAACAAGCTACATGTTTTCAGTATATGCAGCTGGACCAATCCTACCTTCCCTGAACGCCCAGTCCGTGCTCCAGCTCGTCTCTTCTCCCTCCTTGTCCACAAACTACAGCTGTTCGGTGACGGTGACGGTGACGGTGACAGCAGCTCACTTCACTTCACATACTTCACGTCACTGACGTCATCGACAACACGACACTTCCAAAACACTTGGCAGATCTACCAGAAAACAAATGAACAGGTAACTGTTACACTATTGCCTGTTGTCTTTGACTTTAAGCATGGCTAATGACGATCAAAACAATCAGCACTTATTCCAGTACACTCAGATTTCATAGCAAAACGTTTCATTTGTTTTCTAATTAAAATAATCGATATAATACTGAAACGCAGCTGAGCAGGTGTAAGCAGAATATCTTGGAAGCCAACAGCGACAGCAGAACGAAAATGTTCCCTCTTGGTGTCGTAGTCAGAGAGGAACTACCCGATCTACAGTCTGCTTCTGCTCGGCCCGACCGTCTATCTGTCTATCCGCCCGCGTTCATAGCATACGAGAACAGCCTTTGCATGTTAAGCCCCCCAAACTACCTGTCTCTCTTTCTCCTTTGCTGTTTCAAATCTCTAGCTATCTCTCTCAAAACCTGATCACTATGCAAAAGTATGAATGAGATACGGCCAGCTTCTCTGTCCTCTCTCTCGCACAACGCCTTTACATTAGCAATTGTAATGAGTTACTATACTTTTCGAAAACATTGGAAGTGCAAGGGGACGGAGAGGGGTAATAACAAATGCCTCAAAGTTCAGTTTTTAAACATTGGGCAGTATAGGTTTTTTTTTTCCTTTCATATATTGAAATATTTCGTTTACATTTTTCATTTGTTCCAATTACTAATTTGTTGCTAGGGTTACGACGTTTCATTGGCACTTCTTACGGAACAATCCCATGATTTTCGAGTTAAACTTTAATAGACCTGATTTATCGGCCACAAACAATATACTTACAATTCTGATCTTATACATATTTGGCACATCGTACACCGATTTAACATAAATGTTAAGATTTTTTATGAAATATGTAAAAACATATAAATATATGAAGAATGAAGTCTATAGGTCTTTTAAGTAGCCATATGAACGTATGTCAACTATACTGATTCGCTCAAAGCATTAAGCTATGGAGCCAGGAAAATCCCGTTGTTAGGCAACGACTCAGTAAACATATTCAGTCGAATACACAATAACAGGAGCGGTTCTCTTTGGGTCCGTGTCGCGTCCATAGCAGCCAGCGCGCCAAAGGACTGGCTGGGTAGCAATCAAGTGGGAACCCGCAACAAATGTGCATTTAACAATAGGAATAGGAAACGGCGCGGTCAACATGTCTTTCTGTAGGCCCTCGCCAGCGCAGTCATTTTCGGGTTCGAGTCCCGTGGGACTCGCTACCATTTTTTACTTTCTGATTTGAGATTTCCCTCTTCGTCGCCTCTTAACAGTAGCAAATGTATTCCAGTGGTGTATTTCTGACGTACGAAAACGGAAAATGAGAATGGAAATTATTACGTCAGTCGGTACGGACCTTTTATATTTATCATGTATGTTTCCTTGACTCCAAATACATCGAAGATAACTCTGGTAAGCAAAAGTCAAAATATCAGTAATATAAACCAAGTTATAACACAAAGATATCAGAGCGTCCCATAAAGGACTACATTATCTGTCTTTTCTTACAGAATATTTTTAGAACTGATAGTACATACTGTTGTGTCTGTCCCTGCGAGTTAGCTAAATTGGTGATCGTCATTCGGGAAGCATACATACGCAATTTCGTATTAATATTTCATCCTTACGCAAAGCCTACTTATCGGAACATCTGAAGCTTACATAAATATTAAGTTACGGCAAGGCTAAGCTATTGTTACGTATATCACTAAACTTCTAACAAAACCACTGCCTACTTTTCTGTATTACTGTATTCATGCAGGAGGTTCGAGAAAACTGCATAATGAGGAGCTTCGTAATTTGTACTCTTTTCCAAGTATAATTAGACTGATCAAGTGAAGGAGGTCGCGATTAGAATGGTATGTAGCATGAAAGAGAGAGAAGAGGAATGCGTATAGAATATTGGTGGGAAAACGAGAAGGAAAGAGACCGCTAGGAAGACCAAGACGTAGGTGGGTAGACAATATTAAAATATCTTAGAGAGATAGGATGGCATGATATAGACAGGATTGATCGAGGCTTTTGTGAAGACGGTAATGAACCTTTGGGTTCCATAGCATATATGTGTATATGAAATTTATGATTTTATGAATTTCAGCATTTTAGGTAGATATGACAAGAGTTGTATTACATAAGATAATGTAACTGTAAACATTTCCAGATTATGTAAGTTTTGAGGTTTTCACGGCGATGACAATGAAGAAAGTTGTCTTCTGGGTTTAGGCACCGTGTATTCTTCGTTTTGGCCGACGTTTCGGAGGAACGTAGCGCCTCCATCTTCAGAGCAGTTGAATAGCTGCGGAGATCAGTAGCTGTGGTAGCTACTGATCTCCGCAGCTATTCAACTGCTCTGAAGATGGAGGCGCTACGTTCCTCCGAAACGTCGGCCAAAACGAAGAATACACGGTGCCTAAACCCAGAAGACAACTTTCTTCATTTCCAGATTATTTTATGAATGTGAAATATATTACCCTGGAAAGCAACAATATATGGAATTCACAAAATATGAAGGGTAGAATGGAACAAGTTAAAGTTGTTAAGGAAATCTTATCGAAATGTACATAAATATTGCAAGTATAAAATTCATTTTTATTTCAGAATGTTCAATTATCAAAATTACGTAAATATGTTGGTTACTTTCCTTGGCTTATTTTCACTCTGAATATGGAGGCGACATATTTCTCCGACACGTTGATTGACTTCCAAAGGACTACACGGCCTCATATTGCAAAGAAATAATTATTATAATTTATTATTATTATACAACAGGCCATTTTGATTATTTTCTTTCGTTTTGTCTTTGTGTTTCTGTTTCCTTTTCTATTCCTACTGCTTGGTTACGACGCTCTTGCGTTTACGCGTACATACACGATAAACTTAAGTTGGTCCTTAACCAGTTTAATACTATACCATGGAGACGTAAGGGGGTGTGGATGTATAGATCCACGTATTCTTGACCTCGGCACTAGTTCGAAGTGAGAGGTCAGGTTCACGCCCAGGCCAATTTACCCCTCGGTACCCATTGCATGTTATGCTGGTTGGGGTCCAGAATCAGCCTGAACGACGTGGAGAGGAGAAAAATCCTACCCAAACCGGGACTCGAACTCTGACCCCTCTGCCGTTCTTGCAGTAGCCAGTCGCTATACTGACTGAACAATCTTGGCTTCTTCTCGTATGTAATAGAGAACTTAATCATTTTATTGTTATTATAATTTTGCTGTTGTCACTATTAAAATCTACAATTATATTCTAAAATCATCACTCTTTCTTCACCGAAGACGGAATGACCACCTTTTCTCGTCTAATTCTGGTCTCTACTTTCCGTTGCCCATAATTCGCTTAACTACATTAACAAAATACGCTAGTAAAAGGTTCAAACCTCTTGCACTCGCCGACTGGAGTAACATTCATAACTAGGCCGCGCCATAGCTCAAGCGGTTAGTAGCTGGCTTCCCACCGCGGCGGCCCGGGTTCGAACCCGGGGTCTGGTCAAATGGGATTTATGGTGGAGAAAGTGGCGATGGGGCAGGTTCTCTCCGAGTACTTCGGTTTCCTTGACAATCTTCATTCCACCAATTGCTCCACAATCACCCTCACCTATCATCTGGGGCTGGTACAATAGGCCAGAAGTGGCCGCAGTACAAGGGACTTGGTCCCATCATAGTGGCAATAAAAAAAATTCATAACTAAGACAGGCATGGGAACGCTGCCTTGGATGAAGAAGCTGCAAGTGGATGGCATAGAAGGGGACTGTCGAAACAAAATTATACTGTTATAATGATTACCCCTATTTCTATTCCGAAAGAAAGTAGATTTATTAATACGATAGATGCGTCTTAATAAGAGATGGGGCTATCTATCTATCTATCTATATATATATATGGCTCTACAGACCTTTGTAGGCTGAGGGCCACATTTTCGTTTTCTGAATCCTATACACAGTAGATAGGATTCCTTGTACGGGGATCAGTCCGTCGTTAGGCATCTACCTATACACAGGACAACACAAATACAGAATTAATGCACACAGATATCCATGCCTTAAATGGGGTTCGAACTTACGATCCCAGTGTTCGAGCGGGTGAAGACGGTTCATGCCTTTAGCCGAACGCCCACTGATCGACCAGATGGTGCTACACTAGGCACAAAACAGGGCAGTATTATACATTCTCATTTACAGAGTAAACGTATTTTCGAAACACAATGTCTCCTCTCATTTAAATAGTAATATTATTTCCCTTTCTTTATATACATGCACATAATCAGAATCATCTGTAAGAAAGATTAAATAGACAGCATGACGTCATCTGCTTCGTTTCCATAAATAAATTATAAAATATCAATGTCTAGACTCGATCCCCCACCAAAAGTACGTACTCGTAGCGTCTGGTCCTGTTCCGCAGCGGGAGATCCTTATCAGGTCCGACACGAGACACTGACTGCGACAGGTACGCGTAAGTCTGCACACCGCAGCCACCTGCTCACGCTGGTTCCTCGCTGACACATTTTCCTACCCTGAAGATGGAGGCGATAAGTCTGTCCGAAACATCGGTACACACAAGATCTACACGGCACCACATCCTAGAATGGGACATTCTTAAGATATTTCCTGCTTTCAGGATTCAGCATGAATAGTAAAGTAAGGAAAGGCCGCGCCATAGCTCAAGCGGTTAGTCGCTAGCTTCACATCGCGGCGGTCCGGGTTCGATCTCGGGTCTTGTCAAGTGGGATTTGTGGTGGACAAAGCCGATTTTCTCCGAGTACTTCGGTTTCCCCTGCCAATCTTCATTCCACCAAATTCTCCATCATCATAATCACCCGAGGCATTCTACAATAGGCCAATCAGTGGCCGCCGTGCCGAGTGGACCCAGTTTGACTCCATCCCCCACTAAGCGAATTTTACTGAACACTTACAGATCGTAAATACAAATACTTATAGCGCTATCGTTAATTCNCAGATGTTGAGGCTCTCACATTTGCAAGAAATTCGGCTCATAGATGGCAGTAAGTTTGTCAGCCTTACGCCCTTTAGCCCCCAAGAATATTCCTGGTACTCATTTCTGTTAGAGGCTGAGTCGACTCCAGGGTCATAGTGCGGCCGAAAGGATTAGGTCAATTGAAAAAAAAACAATGACCTCATCGGTACTTGAACCCGCGACCTTCCGAATTGTACCATAGTGCTTTAACCAACTACGCTACCGCGTGCCCCATCAGCATGGATAGACATAATTGAAGTGAACTGTATTTCGTCTTTCCAACGGAGAAACGCCCTGTACATTT